ATCTTCTTGAATTGTATCCAATTTATGCATTCTGGTTCTAATATGTTCTTCTTTACAGAGTGCACATTTAGTGAGGAAGCCTTGTTCATCACCATTAGTAAAGTATTCTATGCTTCATGGATCTTCTCTTGGAAGTTGTTGGTGAAAATTAGTCCAACAAATCTTATATACTAGGGTGTTATTAAGAAGGCGAATATCTTCTGGCATCTGAGGGGCTTTGCATCTACAGCAATAGTTTATTCTTTTATGACTATAGTAAACCATTCATCTGTCTTCGACTTCATCTCGGCTACATCCACATTTATACTGCTAGTTATCCTTCTTGAGAGGAGCAAGAGGACAATAGATACTGATATGTCCTAACTCATTGCATTAATAGCAACGGTTATGAGGGCAATTGGCATATTAGTACTCAGTGCTATCACATACTTTGCAGTAGTTTAGCTTTGGTAAATTGCGAAGGCAATATTTAGAGATGTGTTCTAGTCTTTTGCATCTATTGTATTGATTATCAGAGCAGTCAGCAAAGACATGTTCATTAGAGTAACAATTTTTATATCTTCTGTATCGATTGTTTATAAGGGGTCTGGTCCTGAGTCTAGGGGTTAGGGTTATCTAAGGTTGGTTATCAGTTTTTGAATCTGCGGCTGTTAGAGTATAAGCTTCTTTTTGGAATAAGAATTCTTGTTCAAATTGGTCCAATTCATGCTGTTCCTTTACTGTTGATTGAGTAGGTAAAGGTTGGTGTTGTTCGTAGGTAGTAGGTACATTGTTTTTCTAATTCTTTTGAAAACATCTTTCCGAGCTTATTAGTAACGTTTTTTTTTTTATTTCCTTCAATATTGTCTGCATTTGAGCGGGTGATATTCCGGCAACAAAAGCTGCCATTGAAGACTGTTCAATTGTAGGTGAGACTTCTGGAGATCCAGATATATCACCAGGAGTTTGCTTGATTATTGAATAAAATTTTCCTCCGGAAGATTGAATAACACTTTCGTTATTCTTTTCCTTTTCAAATCCTCGGCGTGATTCTTTTCTTGAAGCTTTTTCTGAATCTGAAGGCATATCGGTATTTTGAACTACTATCATTTAGCTGCTGTTTTATCTTCGTTGATTCCTGTTGATTATTTTGTACAGCTCTTAAAAATTTTTTTATAATGTCATTCTGGTCTGACTGTTCAGAAGGTGACTCACTACCATTACTCTATTTATTAAAATACTGTAAATATTTAATATGAAAAAGAACTAAAAATAAACACATGACTAGAAACGCGAAATAAAAAAAAATACTGCCGTGTCCTAAAATAGAACCGTTATAAAAAAATCCATGTGTGATAATCCCAAATATGGACTTCTGAGATGTGAACTACATATATTCAATAATGGGATTATATCATGTGTAACTCATAATCGACCAATAAAAACTATTATCCGGCAAACTCATATCGATATCGATTTATAATATTGATTTTATGTAATCATGTTTATTCAAATTAAAACTCAGCTGATCCCTATAACGATAACATCATTATTGAGCAAAATTTTGTATAAAGGCATGATGGAAATTGGTTTTTATTGGTTGTTTATTGTCTATTGAAAAGTACTGTTACACGAACTTTTTATATTGGTTTATAGTAGAAAATTTAATTCGAATTGGAACAAGTCAAAATTTTTTATAATTAAGGTTACCTAAAATTTCACCAGATTGTTTTTTTTTTAGAAATATAGCTTTTATAAAAACGTTTGAAATCAAGTCAGATCAAGTTTTCCACCAACTTTTACTAGAAGCGATTCTGCCAATGCCAGTATGTAACACAAAGAAATTACATTAAATTTTTGGCATTTTCTAACAACAACTATAGATCAGATAATAGAAGAAATAATAACTAATATTATGATCGTTTTCAGTCTCGAGAAAGAAACAGATCATATGATGATAACAGATGCTATAACAATTCTAGAAATAATGACAGAAATAGAAGTCAAGAAAGAAGCCATTCACGAGATAGATACTGAAATAGAAACAGAAATAACAATAGCAGAAGCAGATTCCAAAGCCGATCCTCTACTCCCTACCCTAGAGAAGCTTATGCTGCAGGTCTCGTTAATTATGATTATGAACAGTTCAAATCATATTTCTTTAATGAGTCATTGCAAACTGCTATGGAAACCTATTTTGCTACTCTCTCTTCTAACGCTATTACTAAAGCCTCAACTCATACTACACCTGTCAAATGCAATATTAAGATTAAGAATAAGCCCTATCAAGCTATTATTGATAGTGGTGCCTCAATAAGTATGATCTCATATCAGATTGTTAAAGAATTAGAACTCAAGATAGATACTTGCTCTTCTAGCTTAATCCTATTAGCTACAGGACCTTCCATTAGACCTCTAGGAATAATCAAAAACCTTCCTATAGAAATTGAAAGAATAACTATTTCCATAAATATAGAAGTTATGAATGCTACCTCCTATTCTCTTCTTCTAGGCAATGACTGGTCTCAGAAAGTTGAAGCCACGTATAATTAGAAAAATGGTGCCTATACTTTAAAATGGAACAATAAGAAAATCTATGTACCTACTACCTACGAACAACACCAACCTTTACCTACTCAACCGACAGTAAAGAAACAACATGAATTAGACCAATTCGAACAAGAATTCTTATTCCAAAAAGAAGATTATACTCTAACAGCCACAAATTCAGAAACTGATAACTAACCTTGGATAACCCCAACCTCTAGACTCAGGACCAGACTCCTTACAAACAATCGATACAGAAGATGTGGAAACTGCTATTCTAATGAACATATCTTTGCCGACTGCTCTGATAATCAATGCAATAGATGCAAAAAACTAGGACATATCTCTAAATATTGCCCTCGCAACCCACCAAAATTAAACTACTGCAAAGTATGTGATAGTACTAAGCACCAATATGCTAATTGCCTTCATAAACGTTGCTATCAATGCAATGAGTTGGGACATATCAGTATCTATTGTCCTCTTGTTCCTCTCAAGAAGGATAATCAGCAGTATAAATGTGGATGTAGCCGAGATGAAATTGAAGACAGACGAATAGTTTACTATAGTCGTAAAAGAATAAACCATTGCTATAGATGCAAAACCCCTCAGATGCCAGAAGATATTCGCCTCCTTAATAACACCCTAGTATGTAAGATTTGTTGGACTG